CTAAGAAAACAAAATTTTTCGTTTGTAATATATTTCATTTACAGTATATAATAATTACTGATGTGTATTTATTTACATGTTTGGTGTCACACTTTCGGTATCTACATATATGGTGGCAGTTGACTAAAAGTACACATGGTTTTCTCTGACAGGAAACCACATGTCTGGGTCTGAATCACATGGTGGAACTTTACTGTCCATGTCTACACAAGTATCTAGAATGTGGTTGTGGTGATTCATCACTTTACTATCTTGATTTGGTAAGTTCTTTTTATTTTCCGCAGATGTTCTTGGGTATGTTGGTGGGTCCTCAGAAGAATCATCTGGTAGTGGTACTGGTTCTTCATTAGTAGCTTCTATGTTTTTTTTCATTACTGAAGCAGATAAACATTCTGTAAGGTGTTTTGTCTTTGCCAAGACCACAGCAACATTTCTTTCACTTGATTCTTTGGAAATCTTTCTCTTCTGAGCTCTGACAACTGAATTATCCGTGGCATAATGGGTCTTCTGAAAAAAAAATATTCAATTTTTTTGACATTTAATGACAATATAGTTAATGACACACAGTGTGTGTGATTAAATGTCGAAATACCTGAATATTTTTTTTTTTCAGAAGACCCATTATGCCACGGATAATTCAGTTGTCAGAGCTCAGAAGAGAAATATTTCCAAAGAATCAAGTGAAAGAAATGTTACTGTGGTCTTGGCAAAGACAAAACACCTTACAGAATGTTTATCTGCTTCAGTAATAAAAAAAACATAGAAGCTACTAATGAAGAACCAGTACCACTACCAGATGATTCTTCTGAGGACCCACCAACATACCCAAGAACATCTGCGGAAAATAAAAAGAACTTACCAAATCAAGATAGTAAAGTGATGAATCACCACAACCACATTCTAGATACTTGTGTAGACATGGACAGTAAAGTTCCACCATGTGATTCAGACCCAGACATGTGGTTTCCTGTCAGAGAAAACCATGTGTACTTTTGGTCAACTGCCACCATATATGTAGATACCGAAAGTGTGACACCAAACATGTAAATAAATACACATCAGTAATTATTATATACTGTAAATGAAATATATTACAAACTGAAAATTATTGTTATTCTTAGTCAATAACATTAAGAAAAATAAAATGAGAAGTCTTCTTCGAAACCTAACTTTTTTTTTTCTCGAAAACTGAAAATTAAATGCCCAAAGTTGAGACCCCCCCCAAACCCTAAAGTCCCCCGGATCCCCCAAAGGTCAAATTGGCCCTACACACACACACACACCCCCAACACACCACACCACAACACCACACCCACCCCAAACACACACACACACACACACCCCACACAACACACACCCAAACACACACGAGGGGTGCTCCTAGGCAGGGGACAGAACAAGAACAGAAGGGACAGCAGCTAAGGGAGGGGGACACAAAAAAAAAAGGGGCTAGGAAAGAAACAAAAAAGTCACAAGGAAGCCAGGGGCAGGGGAGAGCAGCAAGTGAAATGCGCACCCAAAACCACCCCCAAACCCCACAACCAACACCTTTTCCCAAAACAAACCACAACCCAAAGCTTACAGCCCCCCACCCCACACTGTAAAAATCAAAGGGCACATCCCAAATTCCCCACCATCACAGACCCCCCCCCCCCAAACACAGTGTTGGAGAGGAAACTAAAGGGTTTGGTACACCAACCTGAGGAATAACGAATAAGTGGGAGGGGGGGCCCAAAAAAACGGAAAAAAAATGAGTGGGGCATAAACCCGACATCTAGTTCTCTCAGAAACCAGGCTCGGGAAATGAAAAGATCCCAAATTTTTCCCAAGGGGATACGGGATCCTGGGGGAAAGACGGGGCGGAGGAGTGGCAACTGTTTCTTCAAAACCCCAATGGGATTTTGTGAGGGGGGAGAGAGGAAAGAAAAAATAAAAATAATAGGAACCCCTTCAGTCGGGAAAGGTCCCAAGGGGGTTTAATTGCAAGTTGAAATAAACCCCACCCCCCAGAAAAACAAAAGGCCCAAGGGGCTTGAGTATGATGGGGAGAAAAAGGGAGCAATAAAGGACACACGGGTTTGAAGGGGCGGGAAGGGTTCATTCGAGCGGGGCAAAGCTGCAAATTTAAAGGGTGATTCCCAGTCAAAACCCTTTTTCAAGGGGGGCCCCTTGGGGGGGGGGAAAGGGGGCTCTTGGTCTGGGGAATTAGCCCTGTGGGTTTCTTCCCAACCAAAACCAAAATTAAACCCCCCATTTTTCCCCTCCCCTACCCATCCCCCCCATCCTCCCCTTTTTCCATTCCCCCTCCTCCTCCTCACCCCCCCCCTTTTTTGCCCTTCCTTTTTTTAAGCCTTCGTGATTTCTCCCACAGGGGGCCCCTTTCCTAGGTAGGGGAAAAGGAAAAGGGGGTCCATCCCATTCCGTTGGGTTTTTTTGGGCCCGGTGGCTTTTATTTTGGGCCGTGGAATCGGGATTGCCTAGGGTTTCCCCGACCCCCTCTCCGGTCCCCCGGGATTAGTTTTGGGGTTTGTTTTTTGGGCGAGGGGTGTAAAATGGAAGCCCCCTTTGGGGTTTCCGGGGGGTGGGGGCTAAAGGGAAAGGTATGCTTTGTGGCGGATTTTCCGGCCGCCCCCCTCTTTTGCCCCCCGAGGTAGCCCCGGCAGAGGGGGGGGTTTCCCCATCCCAGATTGCGGGTTTTACTGGCAAAAAGGGTAGGGTATGGCAGGGGTTCCCTTTGCTGAAACTGCGCTATTTGGGGTGTCGAGTTCCTTTTGGGCCCCGGGGGGAAGTTTTTCGGGCCCTTTCATTCCTCCTGGGAAACTACCCCTTTCCCCGGGTCCCCCCTTTTTTTTTTCTTTTTTTTTTTTTTATTTTTTTTTCTTCTTTCTTTTTTTTTTTTTAAAAAAACAAAAAGAAAAAAGAAACCCTAACCATGGAAACCCCCCAAAAATTTCCTAAACCCTTTAGTACCCCCCGGGCCCCTTTTTTGTTCCCGCCCCCCCTTTTCTGACCCCCCCCCTCGCCTTTGGCCACTCTTTCAGACATTCCTCATGCCTCTGTACTTTTTCCGGTGCTTTTTCCTAAACCCCTTTCAGGAAACTGGGGCCCTGGGACTGACCCCTTTCGATTTATCGGGAACCTTTCGCTCTCCCTGACTATGTTTCCCCCGGCCCTTTCTCCCTCTAGGGGTGCACCCAATTTTCAAATCGCCGGGACCTTTCCACGTCGGAAAAATCTGGCCCCCACCCCCTAAACGTCAAGGGAAACAATACCTGCGATGATCCTTCTCCACCTTCTCGTTTTTTCTCAGAAACGATCGCCCCACGTCCTTCACTACCTTTTCCAAACCCCCCAGTTAACTAAACGTGGACAAAATTCTTCCTTTCCGCCAACTTCCTCAACGCCAAATTTTTTCCTGACCATAGAATTGGCAAGGCATTTTCCTACCCCATTTTGGGTAAAGATTTTTCCTTTTCATGCTCTTAAGAGCGGTACGCGCATCTTTAAACCGTACAGAAGCAAACCCGGGCTCGGACCCTCTCTCGTCTTTCCCATATAGAAAATGTTCTGCCCCCTTGAAAAACATCATTCCCTCAATTCTTGTAGTGGTACCGTTATTTCCCCCATACCATAGTTCAAAAAAATTTTCCAGACATGGGGCCCGACATTCCGAACAGCTGGAACTCCAAGACTCCCAACCCTAAAGGGGTGGGCCCACTTACGTTTTTCCTCCCCCGGGGCGGAGCGATACCCTACCCAATGGGGCTCTTTTAAATTTTTGACCCCGAGAACTCCACCCTCCGTTTATATAGCAGGAAAACGGTTACAAGTTCGAAAGGTGATCCCTAAAACCACAACTTGTGGGAAATTGCTGGCGATTTGGCCATCCACAAAAAATTGGGCAGATCTATCGCCGAATGCCCATTCTGTGGTCCCGGGATGACCATTCTAAAAAGTTTTTGAAAATCGATCTCCCTCTTGCCTTAACTGTCTGAGGCTCCCCCCTTCGTACTTCTCGCCTTTTGGTCGGGTCTTTTTAACGAGCGGGGGAATTTCCGTTACCTAAAAAAGACGAAGGTCTCCCTTATGCCAGGGGCAGTTTCCATCCCCGCCCCCAAAGGGGAGACCCCCACGTTTTTTCTTATTCCCTTTGTTTAAAAAACGCCCCCCCATTCGGGAACCCATTTTCCCCTAACCCACCTCTGTGTTACCTCCCCCCATAATCACTCCTGTATCAAATTTTTCCTTTTGCTGTCCTCGGCTCAAAACGTCCCTACTTCAACGCCTAAAGTCAAATCTCGCTTCTTCGATTTCTCTTTTTACAAGCCTAATTATCGACGGGACCTCTTTACAAACCCCTCTTCCCAATCGTCCCTCTACTTCTAAAAAGTAAAAAAAAAGGTCCTTTAACCCCTCCTACCCTTTTTCCCAAACCCCCTTCATTTTACCCCCCTGTCTCGTCCCTAGTTCTTCCCCCCTCCCCGGGCTCGGTTACAATTTCAAAAGGGTTTCACCCCCCCCTCCTCTTTTTAAAAGTTAAACCTTCCTCCCCTTTTTTCCCCCAAGTTTTTTCCCTTTTCCCTTCTCCCACCTCCCGGGTTTTCCTGTCTCTTCGCCCCCTCCCACGTTTTCTCCAGTTCCCTCCCCCCTTTTCCCCCCCCCCCTACCTTGGTACAGCCCAAATTACATTTTCCAATTTTTATATCCCCCCCCTTTCCAAATTCCCAATATTGTCCCCCATAGGGCCCATCTCTGAATTCCGAAACACTTAAAGCAATTTTGAATATTTTTGAAAGAGCCCAAAACCCATCAAGGGGAACCTGATCCCCCTTAGCTTTTTCTCTCCCTCTGCTCCATCTGCGCAACTCCTTTTTTCACAGCCCCCGTTCCTTCGCTGCTTAAACCCTTTTTCCCACTGCCCCCGCATGGGGCCCTTTTCTAACCTTCTAGTCCGTGGGAACCCCTTACCTGGGGAAATTAAAGTATTTTTTAACAGGGGCCAATCAGGGCCCTTTTTTAAACAGGGGAAAAAATACCGGCCTCGGGGGTAATCGGTGGGCTTCAGATGTTACTCTCCCATTTTGGGCCCCGTTGGTGTTTGCTTACAAAAACCAAAAATTTACACCCCGTTGTTATTTCTCCATCCAGGCTAAAATTTGTTGTATTCCAGATCCTTTTCCTGATGGGCCCTTTTAAAAATGAAAGTGCCCTTTTCTCCGCCCCCCCCCCCCTGATTTCCGTACCATAACTATTTTTTCAT